TAACTTTGTTTTAAATAATCTTAGATTATGGAGCTTGACGTAGATTTGCCAATAAACTTTACGGTCAATTTATTTTCTTTCTTAAAATAGTTTCTATAAATGCTTTTAACTTTGTTTTAAATAATCTTAGATTATGGAGCTTGACGTAGATTTGCCAATAAACTTTACGGTAAATTTATTTTCTTTCTTAAAATTCACTATGGTGACTGTAGTTCTGAAGTGTAATGAATAGGTCCTACTGGAGAAATATGTATTTTTTAATCCAGTTTTGAATGTGTGATATATGGATGTTTTTCATTATTTTATGGTATTTCAAATGCATCCTTAAAGCATAAAGTTTTTAATGAGATATGCACTTTCATTTTTCACATCTTCTTTGCAAGCCTCTGAAATCACCTATGTGATTTCATTTAAAAGAAAACATTTTAAAATTGAGCAACTATGCATGCAATTTCTTTCAAAAACACAAAGCTTACAAATTTGCATCAAAATAGAAAATCAAGATTGCTTAATTAAAACCTTGACACCATCAACCTCTTTAATTATGTGTTAAAGAGACTGGTATCCTGGGGATACCAACTTAAAATCAGTGCGCATTTTGAGCGTCTCTGGTGTATGTACATGCGCAACTCACAGAAGGGCAAAAAGAGAAGCTTTAATAGGAGGCAAGAACATGATTTAAAAATTCTCCGGACGTGAATAATTTCACACTTTTAAAACAGATTGGAAGAGGGCAAATTTGTCTTTTCAGAAGAATAATGCAGATAGAAATGTAAAACAGAACGGTTCACCTCTTTTCTATGTCTAAATTGCAATGAGTGCTTTCTTTTTAAAGAACAAAGATTTTAATAACAATTGTTACTCAGAAGGCACAGTTCTAAAGCTTGAATACTGGTTGTTGGATGTATTCTATAGAACATATTGGGTAAATCGGGGAGGAGAAGGCTGTTTATATCTCTCCTTCTTTACAGTGTATAAATTTTGCAGTAAAATGATTGCTTTTCTTTACATCTTAATTCTTGTCGTCTACACTATTATGTGCCTATTTCCAACTTCTTTTGCTAGTGTGGAACCCGGCAGCTCTTTGTTCTCATTGTGTCTATCCTCTCCTTTTCTTTGTGTTGCAGGGATACTGCTACCCGCATCTGCCACTGAGCATGCGGAGAAATCCTTCAATAGATTCTTTACTTAGGACTTTCAGTAGTATCATTCCACTTCTCCATGTTTTAGTAATGACCAAAATATCGTAAAGATACACTGAAACTTGGAAAGGTGATGGGTGATACAGGTGGTTAGGTGGTGGACTAGCAAGCAGGGACACAGCTAGGGAAAATGAGGGGCAGGCATCACATAAACGCATCTAATTTATAGAAGTTCTCACCAAGCATGTTAAATGTAGAACATCCACCCTGCGCTAGGAAGCTAGAGAGGTAGATTGACAATTGAGAAGACACAATTGTTTCTGAGCAGAAAGGCACAGAACCATATCTAAAACCAACAGATAGAATGTGCTAGCAGTTCCCGAGGGATGTGGGACATTGTCACAAAATTGGCAAAAAGTCCCCGAACAAGGACCTTCGGCAGATAATATTAATATATTATTTGAGTATGAGAACCAGTTCCGTGGGCTTTTCTCACAAAATCTCAGGCTTTTCTCTGATTGTATTAAATACTCAAAATGCTAAGTCAGTATTAACTGAATGAAACTTGATTCAATTCTTCTGCTTAAAAGGCTTTTAAAAAATAAAAAGCAGGTAAGAAACAGCAGGTTCGCAGGTGAGATTAGAGGGTATTGGGGAAAGTTGAGGTTTTGTATTTTTTTTTTTTTGCTCCAGCAAATCTGATTCTAATAGCTCATAAATTATTTAACAGATGGAGCACTGCACAATGTTACTCATATTTCTCCCCTTAATGATTGTTGCCTGTTGTGTTCACTGCTTGGATGGCCAGCTCTTAGAATGGCGGCTGGCACAGAGTAGGTGCTCAAAGATCTTTTGTTTGATGAGTGTATGAACATACATAGTATGGGAAAAAGCAATTCTTGTTTTATTGTGGCAAACAATGGTGATAACAGAATAGTTCAAATGTGACTATTTTAGAAAAAACTTAAGTGAACACTTGGCTCTTTAGCAGCTGGCCACTGTCCCTCTCCTAGTGAAAGGGATTTCTTCCTATTTCTCCTCGGCCTTCTTTCTGTCTCCCACCATTTTGTTTCTGTATTATCAATTAGTATAATACATTAATAGCATTGTCCCGAGGCCTCTCGGTTCCACGTGGCTGCTTTTCGGTTTTTAGAATAACCATTCCCTCCCCAGCCTTTTCGTTTTCTGTAGGTTTCATTAGCTAGTGGCTAATAAATACTGTCGTTAAGCCAAACAGTCAGTGTTCCGGGAAGGGACCAAATCAGCCGGCCCGGGTCACCCCTCTAGAGAAGGCAGGCACCTGCGGCGTCTCCTTCGGAGCCCCGCACCTGGCTCTGAGACCCGCGCAGTTGGCTCTCTGGGCTGCGGCGGGAGGAAGCGCCTGTGGCGGGAAAGTTCAGGCCAGGTCCAATCAGGCACCTGGGGTTAGGTGGCGTGGGTGGGTGCGCTGCCCCAGGCCCCAGCCCGCGCTGCCGGCCCCGCCCCCTCAGGGGCTCCTGTCCCCACCCCGTCCCCAGGGCCGGCCCTCCGCCCCCGCCCCCGCGCCCCGCCCCGCCCCCGGGCCGCGGCTAAAACCCGGAGCCGCGGCGGCGCCCAGGGGACTGGAGGGGCGCACTGAGCATGTGCAGAGCGGCTCGGCGGCTGCTGCCTCGGCCCGAGGCTAGGGCCCGGTGCTGATGCGAGCGGCCGGCGCGGCCTCAGCCCCATCGCGGTCGGTCCCCAGGCCCGGGCGACGGTGACGCAGCCGTAGCCTCTCCGTGGTCCGAGGAGCCAGTGCGCACCTCCCGGCGGCCGCGGCGACCCCGGGGCCCACGATGATGGCGGAGCAGGTGAAATGCGCCTCGGCGGGGGGCAGCTCCGGAGCGGGCTCCGGGCCGGTGGTGAACGCGGAGCTGGAGGTGAAGAAGCTGCAGGAGTTGGTGCGCAAGCTGGAGAAGCAGAACGAGCAGCTGCGGAGCCGAGCGGCCAGCGCGGCCGCCGCCCCGCACCTGCTGCTGCTGCCGCCGCCGCCGCCCGCTGCGCCGCCCCCCGCCGGGGCCTGCAGCCCGTTGGGTCCGCGGAGTCCCCCGGCCGCCTCCACCGCCTCGGGGGCACTGGGGCTCGGGCTGGCGCTGGGCTCCGGGGGCGGCGGCGGCGGCAGCGGCGGCTCCAGCCCCGCGTTCCCGGGAACCTTCTGCCTGCCCAGCCCTGCGCCCTCTCTGCTCTGCAGCCTGGCGCAGCCCCCCGAGGCGCCCTTCGTCTACTTCAAGCCGGCCGCGGGCTTCTTCAGCGCGGGCAGCAGCGGGCCGGAGCCGGGGGGCGCGGGGACGCCGCCGGGGGGAGCCGCCACGCCACCCTCGCCGCCCCCCACGCTGCTGGACGAGGTGGAGCCGCTGGACCTGGAGAGCGTGGCCGCCTGGCGGGACGAGGACGACTACACCTGGTACTGCCGGGCTCCGCTCCCTGCCCCAAGACCCTGGTCTCAGGGCCCCGGGAAGCTGGGGCGTGGGGCGGAAGGGGGCGCCCCGCGGCCCTCGGACGGGGTGGCCTAGCAAGTGTCGAGTCAGGTGATGAGCCGAGGCTTTTCACGAAGGCAGAAACCTGTTTTCTAATTGCTCCCGGTGGAGATGAATTGGTTCCCTCCATCTGCCTTGTGTTCTGCTGTTTGATGACTGTTGGGTCCCAAGCTCCTCGTTAGCCTTAACAGCAAAATCCATGTCATCATGTCTTGTTGCTGAATTCTGCTCTTTTTCCCAGTCTTTTAGGGGGAGTGAGGGGGATGGGTAGAGGTTGGCCTCTGTCTGCCACTGTTACTGTTTTTTCCTTCCAAACGAACGCTGGACGGGAGTTGGGTGCTGTCCCTGCTCGGGTGGCATCTGAAGCCGCCTGGCGATGGATATCTCCTTAGAGATTCGTTCTTGCAGTTTGAGTTCTACAGTCGTATGCCCCCTCGCTGCATTTTCATTGATATTTTCTTTTCGGAGACTGACTCGCTTTTTAAAATGCGGTGACCTCACTGGCACAAGTAATGGTGTCAACAATGAGGGTTTTTCAGAGAGTGGAGTGAACAGGTTGAAGGCACTTTTTTTTTTTTTTTTTAACCTAATAACCAAGGAACTTTCTTTAGTTTTTAAAATTAAACTGCAGATTGAAGAAAAATGAGATTAGAGAAACCTTATTTTTTTTTAGAAGCTTTTTAGGTTGGTTATCAGAAACCTTGAGACTGACAGCATTTATTCTGTTGCAATCTGGTTAGCTCTGTCTTCTTTTTTTGAATGAATAACTTTGGAGGTAGTCATCTAATTCCTTTATTATGTAATTTTCCTACTGCATGCTCATGGAGTAATAGTCATTTCATGACCGACTTCTGGTTAGTTCCTAAGTTTTCCTGGTCACTAGATATAATGGGATATGGTCAGATAAGTAGAAGCTTCAGAGAACGTGGAGGTTGGGGTTCATGCCAGGAAAATCAACAGCATTCATCTCTACATAGCAGTGGCATGAAGAATAGTTGTAGGTCTCCGTTTTTCTTAGGTCCTTTTGTTTAGGACCCTTCTTATTTTGCCAAGCTGGGTTTTCCTGACTTTGGGTTCCTGTTGCGTAACTGCACAGAAGGGCATGGGAGATGGAGAACATTACTGGTTTCCTATTAGGAACTACTGTGTTCCTTTATCCTTACACTTTTATGTGAGAACTGTAACTGTTTAGTACGTTAACTAATTGGTTTGATTCAAGAGTCAAAATAATAATAAACCTTTCAGAGTAGTATTCATCCTCCTTCTCTGTACCTTTTGGCAGCTGTGCAGGTAGCTCAAGTTGTAAAAATCAAACAACTCACCACTTTAAGCCATTCTTTGGAAGCTACACCTTTATCTCTATGAAACCCAGGCTGTATTGTAATCTCAGTGTCGACCTGAATATGGGACTGGAAAATGCTCTGGTGATGGTTCTTAGGTTTTGACTAATAACCCTTATGCCACTTTCAAATTATTTCAGATGGACTTAGTCTCTTTTTGGCCTTTTCTGATTGGTATGTACATAAACAGTGGAAGGAACCTTGCTTGTATTTTGATGGGGCAATATATGGTATAAATTCCATGTTTTAAAAAATTAATGTGTTCTGATTTACTATTTTGTGTGTTAGATTAGTAATCTAATATAACTGTTCTTCTTTTGAATGGATTTATACCATATTTAGTTACCATCCAACTATTAGTATATTGATACTTAGGCTTTCCTTTTATAGTTTATATTTAGTCCAAATAGCACTGAAATAACTAACTTTAACAAAAATCACCTACTTAGTGGGATTACCATATTAGCCCTTCAGATGATTTGAAGCAAATCAGAATTGATGCATGTTCTATTAATTTCAATCATCAGGTAGGTAGGTGAATATATCAAATCAATGCCTTGATGCTTTGCAAATGTTTCTATAGACAAATGGCACACTATTTAGAGTATCTTCCTCAAAACAAACCTAGAATTAGAATCTCAGGTGGAAAAAACGAGGGATCATTAATCTTACTGGGATGGACTTAAAAATGTTAAGGTCCCCTGATGTACAGAAAATTTATCATTACATTTTATACATTAGTTTTGAATTGCTAAATGTTGGCACATTGATGAAAAATAAACAGGGTTTAGTTTTTAAAATTTAACCCACATGCTAATGCTTGCAAAGCACTCTGAAGTTCCTTTATCCCTGCAAACTATAGTGTCCCTGTCATGTGGTCTTACAAATAGAGTGCTTTTCATTTGTATTCACTGATGTTTGCAGGATGGCAACTTATTTTTATTTTCTATGTTTATTAAGAAACAACTGGAGTGGGTATATAGTACCTGATCATTTTAAAAATATTAAAAACTAGAAGTTTTACATTTTCATTAAAAAAAGTTGGTATAAAGTCACAAAAGTCCTCTTGTCCCCAGTCCATTACCATGACTCTGAATTAACCCATTAACACTCTGTATATCCTTCAAGATAAAGAACATAATTGTACAAATCATTATACAAATCTATATACATCAGTTTTTTAAATACCTTTCATTGAACATATCTTGGACATCTTTGTCTATGCATGTAGCTCCACCTCTCCCTGTGACAATTGCAACATTGTTAAAATAACAATATTAGGGACCAAGTTACTGTTAACTGTATCACCTACAAATTTTTATGCATTTTTATGATTTCATCCTAATGGTTTAAACAAAATTGATACTTGATCATTTAGAATAGTACTTTCTGCTAAAATGTCATATCTTCAGACAGGGTTTACAAGTGTAAATTAATCATTGAATATTTTAGAAGTTCTTTCATGTAAGTATACCTTTTCTAGTGAAACCTTAGACCAGTGGTCCCCAACTTTTTTGGCACCAGGGACTGTTTTCATGGGAGACAATTTTTCCATGGACCAGGGCAGCGGGGAATGGTTTTGGGATGATTCAAGCACATTACATTTATTGTGTACTTTATTATTATTACATTGTAATACATATAATGAAATAATTATACAACTCATCATAGGTTGGGAACCTCTGCCTTAGACTATAAATAATCCCCTTTTGTTAACAGCTTGGACAAAATTTGGATCAAGAATCATGTGTCTAAGGAAAATCGTCAATAGTAGAAGTAATATTTGTTTGATGATAGGTCATTAGTGAGTGATCAATCAGGTCTCTTAGGTCCTTTTGTCTTTCTAACAATTATTTAACCTATAAGTAGCATCTTCCTTTGTAAAAAAACAAACAAACAAAAAAAACCTTTAAAAGAATGTGTTCTGCTTTTCATTCTGATGAAAAGCCTTGAAACAAAGCTATTTTCTTATTTCTTCCAATATTTATCTTAATTGAATTTAAAGTGAATTTAAATTGCATTTAAAGTTGCCTGCTACAACTAAATGTCTCAGAAAATGAAAGTTGATGGCAGTTCCAGAACCTTAATTCTTAAGTCCAGTTATTATGGCCCTATGGTAAAACTTCACACCCTGCTATACTGGTTCCTTAGTTATCTTAAATTATTTGATAGCCTTATCTCTCCAGAAGACCATAAGCTAGAAAGTAAAAGGGGAAAGTCTGAGCAGAAGCAAATAAAAAGCTCAATAGCACTAAAATCTTGGTGCATGCATGGGATATGGTAAGACTAGATGATTCCAGTCTTTGTGGAAGACGATTCATATTTCTGTCCTGGTGTCCACAGGCTGAGAAGCTCCAGAGTAGGAGCAGAGGAAGTCAGATTGGTATGAAGTGGCCAGGTGAGCCATTAACTGCGTACTAGACTTTCTTATGACTCTTATTTGAATGTTGAGGGACAGAAGCTCTGAGGTGAAATGACCTACGCAAGCTTTTCCATGTAGTTACTGAAAGAGCTCAGACCAAAATTCAGGTTCTTTGTACAGATTCAGATGTGTTTACACCATTGATATTTTTTTCCCCAAAACTAGATTGTGACCCATTAGTGGATTATAAAGTCAATTTCATGGATTGACCTGCATTTTTTTTTTAATGAAGTGTAGGAGAATAGAAAATCAGTTTATCACATCTTACAAGACAATGCTTGTCTTGATTAAACTTGTTTCACTTTTACACATGTGAAATATTAAATGTATTTGTGCATTATGGTCAAAGTTAGAAAAATTCCAGTTTTTGTTTGAAAGCAAAATGGACTTGGAGAAAACAGATGGAA